AAACCAATCCAAATAAACTGACTTTTGGTCAATTTATGTTGAGAAAGAAATAAGAAAATTCTACTTCAAATTGATCTAATTTTCAACAAAAAATAATTGAACTCTCACTATCTAGAATTGTATTCCACTAACCAGTAAGAAGGTACCAACTTATCTTATTTTTAAATAAAATAATAATGATTTTTTATTATATTGGAACTACATTTTTTCTGTTTATTGACTCGTTCTACGTTCTTGTATATCGTTCCATTTTATCTAGCCTGAATACTGATTTGAACAAAAGTAAATAATAGTAAAAATAATGTATTTTTTTTTCTATAATTAATTTAAAATAGACGCACTTGCCACAAAAGAATCATTATAGGAAGATCGTTTCATGGTTATTGAGAACGAACTAAATCGGATGAAGATAAATTGTCTTGTCCAATATTTAAAACAAGGAGCAATATGTCACTCCTAAGATAAGATCTTATTATTGTATAGGTTTTTTTGTCAACAACCATTATGTCTATATTATTTTTCATAGAAAGATGTATACTAATATAACTTCTCTTTAAACATAATAAGTCATGTTTGGATCAGATTCTTTAAAAAAAAAAAAAAAAACATTTCAAACTCATTTTCTATTGTACATTTTCTTTATAAAATAATTTTATCAAACCGTGACTAAAATAAAACTCGAAAAATTTCACTTGTAGTTGTAGCATCTCTATCGAATATTTACATGAGAGTTGACTATCTTGTCCCTAGTTGCATCCCCATTTACCATTGTTAAATGGAGATGGTGTAAAGAAGATAACCATGCAAATTATTTTTCCCAATTGTCCAATTTATTTAGTTATTTATTCATTTTAAAGAAAGGCTAATTTTGTCTTTCAACACCTTCTTAAGAGTGACGTTGAACGGAATTTTCGTTAGGGACGATGATCACTAATTTTTGAAAAATCAAGAACGGAAATACTAAAAATCAAATGTCAGAAGTAAAAGAGTGTAATGATTAAAAAGGTAAAGGACAAGATCCACAAAAATAGGTTACACAGTTTAAGGATTGCTGATCTGAACGTGCTTTGTCCTGTACAAGCAAAGGAAACAAAAGCAAAGATATTTTTTTTTTGTGACATCATAATCGGAACGTCGGTGATGTGACAACATATTACTCCTCACATTTCTCTTCTGCTATCTCATAAAAATTAAATTATCAAATCTCATTATTTTACATATATCGTTATATCACCGATATTCTATCATTATAATGATAAATAATATTATTATGTTTTTCTCTGTGCGGCTTGCGGGTTCATTTTTTGTAAATATATATTAAATTAAAAATAAATAATTTACTTCTGAAATTATATTTACCTTACAAATATATATATTTTTAGTTATAAGTAAGAGAAAACAATAATATAAACATTTTATAATAAAAAGTTACCTACTAAATATGATTTTTCTAGATAAAAAAAAATATGTTAGTGCAAAAGTGATTTGAAAAAAATATTTTGAACAGATAAATTACTTGAAAGTAAGATATATATGCTCTTAATCATTTTTTTCTTCCTTTTCTCCGTTGTCCTTTACGTAAAAGTGCAGATGGATTTTCATTTAAAAAAAAAAAAAGGAAGCTTAAACTAACCTGTTTTCAATATTTAAAAATATTTAAAGAGCATAATATTTTAAAAATATCTTAAAGTAGAGAAAAGGTGAAAAATAATTATGTGACCATGTGATTCTGTCTAAAAAGGGTGAAATAAAAAATAAAGAAATAAACAGACTTTTGTGTGTAACACAACTTAGGTGTTGTATGTCTAATGACAATTATCCCAGCCCAGTCCAGCCCAGCCCAGCCCAACCCAGCCCAATCCCCACGGGCCCCCGTCCCGAATGGGGCAAACAAACCCACCCCAAACGGCGGGCGGGGTTGGGTTCGCCTCCCTGCCTCTGGTCGCTGGGTGGGGCACTTCGAGCCCGCCCCGTAAAGAATTTAAAAAAAAAAATTTTTTTGGACATTGTTTGTTTTGGATATTTTTTGTTTCAAACGCTTACTTTGGTTATTGATATAGTTAGTTTGAACATTATTTGCTTTAAATTTTAAAATTTTGAATTTTTATTTTAACTGTAAATTAAAAAAATAAAAAACTAACAAACGGGGCAGGCCCGCGCCCCGATCCCACCCCGCCACGAGCCTCGCCCGGCCCAGTCTAAGGTGGGGCGGGGCGGGGCGAGGCGCAACGAAGGGTGCAGGACGGAGTGAGGGAGTGGCGTGAGCAACGAACCCGCCTCGTTGCCACCACTATGTATGTCTTCGCCGACCAAGTATTGGGGTGAAGTTCCAGTAATTTATTGATAGTTCTAGTTTAGATATTTTTGTATTTCTCAGTATTCAAAAATAAATAAAATCATAATTATTCAAAAATATATTTTTAAGTAGTTTTTGACTTTTTTAAAAGACTGGCCAAACGGACCCTTAATTAATGTAGATGCCATTATGGACATAAATGCTTTTCTAACTTCTCTCTGTTACTGTTAATGTCCAAATTTCTCAAAAAAAAAAAAAAAGTTACATTAATTTTGGTTTTAACCTTATAGAAGGAATTTGCTTACTAGAGTCTATTTTATGTGCCATTTATGGTCTTACATTGTTTTCTATTTTTTCATGTTTAATAAATGTTCAAATTTAAGAAACAGACACGTATTTAGAGAGAAAAAAATAACGAATACTTCGAGCGCAAAAAGTAAATAAATCATGCACGTCAAGAAAGAAAACAACTCTTTCAAATGCTAAATTAAAAAAACTCCCGTTTATTCAATGAACTATGCTACTCGTATATAAAATTATACATAATGAATTACATAAAATGATGTTGAGGGAAGTGATTTGAAGAAAAATTGACAGTATTTTAAATTGACAAATGATAGAGTATCACGTGTCATTATGTAATTTTTTATATAAATCTTTATGTACATATAACAACGTCCTTATTCAAAAGTAATACATTTACACCATAGTGTTGGTCCATAAAAATTAAAAACACTAATTACTGCACTCTCATTTTCTTTTTGCTTTTTATATGTTTTGAAAAATGACTAAAAGTGAGGGGCAAATTGAAATAATTGATTTTTTTTTTTTACTTTCATTTTTTTTTTTTTGGTCGGGATCACAAGATGGGAACAAACAAGTACTTTACATGTGCTGATGTGCATGGTCCGAAGTTAACATTTTTTATCACAGCCTTATCGATTCAGTTTGTTTTTATCACATGAAAAGACAACGATAATATACGGAAATCGATTTAGCAGTGACATTAACGACTTATCATAAATAAAGAGAACAAAATAGTTTGTTCGAGTTCATGGGATCCATGTCAATCAATTGTTTTTCTTACTGATTCCAATATACAAATTAAAGCTTGTTTGGTAGGGATTAAAATCAGATTAAAATTGAAAAATTAACCGTTATTGTTGACTTTTATTAGACGAGTGAAACTTAATAACGATTATATTTTCAATTTTAATTGGATTTTAATTCTCCCCAAACAAGCTCTAACAGGTATACAAATAGTTGAATTCAAACAAGTATTTTTTTTATTTTTAATAAAACAATAGGCTTACACATGAAATTTTTGCCTTTTGGGACACGTTTTTGTTGGTAATGAAGCGTAGAAGTTCGCATGCTTGACCTTTGACAATCACGCAGGATAGCATCCAAATGTTTATTTTTTATAATTTTCCTTTTTGTGGAAACTTTCTTGAAATTATACTAATTCAACAACGAATTAAAAGAAAGAGTCAGAAAAGGCAAATTTAAAAATATTCATGACTGAGTTTTAACAAATATTACATATTTGACAATATAAAAATAATTTGGTTACTCGATTCATTTATTCCACTTTTCCCAAAAAAAAAAAAAAAATAAAAAAAAAAAAAAAAATAAATATATAAATATAAAATNAAAAAAAAAAATAAATATATATATATAAAATCTCTACGTAGATTATTAGCTGCAATACATGCAACTTACGTGTTCATCTTTTGTATACTCACAAGAAAGATGTTTTCCTTTTCCAATACTCTTTAATTTTCATACTATTTTTCATCCACACATTTATAGAATAAAATATTTTGTACGTAAATATAAAAAAATTCATACTTTTTAATTACATATTCACTAAAAAATAATTATTTAAAACTCAATTTTCTCAAAATAATGATCATTAAACAAGGGTTTATATTATTTTGAAACCATGCACATAAAAAAAAAAAAGCAACTCGAGCCTGTTTGAGCCCTTTTTTTAAAAATTTTTTAAGAAAATGTATTTTGAAATAGTATTTTGAAGGAGAAAGTGCAGTTAAAATATAATGAAAAGTTTTGTATTTATGTGTAATATTATTTTATTGAATAATATGTGATTAGAAATAAAAGAGAAAAAAAAATACTTTGAAAATAATGGAGATCAAATAAGAGTTCAATTACAAGCAAATTTGGATATTGAAATCTTGAAACAATGCACGTCAAAGTACAAACAACTCTTTTAAATGCAAGAAAGTTCTAACATTAGATTGTTTCTTTAAATATTAAAATCATCGAGAAGATACATGAATTTATTCTTATCTATACGAATCTCACCATAATATTTCAATAATTTTACATTTTTTCCTTTTATCCAAATCATCGTAATATCTCATATTTTAGAAATAAATTAATGTTTTCTAAAATGGTAATCACTATCAAAATTGAAAATAAACAAACAATCCATTCTTGGATTTTTTATTAATTAATATCAAGAAATGCTAAATTCAAACCCATTCAATTATTATATAAACCCTGGCCCCCTCTAAAATGAAACTGTAAAATATTATAACAAATTCCAAATCCCACCTCCACACACTACATTTACTTCCATTCTATCTTCTTTAATTAAACAAGCCATCTTGTCTCTTCCTCAAACTTTCCGAATCTCCACACCTCCATCACCATCGTCGCCGCATCGACACCACGGCCAATGGGGAAAGGCGAAGCACTCTCAGATGGGGTGGTGAAGAAAATCATCCTCTCCTACACATACGTAGCCATATGGATCTTCCTCTCCTTCACAGTCATAGTCTACAATAAGTACATCTTGGATCGGAAGCTCTATAACTGGCCATTCCCCATCTCGCTCACCATGATTCACATGGCCTTTTGCTCTTCCTTAGCCTTCACCGCCGTCCGAGTTTTCAAACTCGTCGAACCTGCTGCCCTCTCGCGGCGCGTGTACCTCACGTCCGTCGTACCCATCGGCGCCCTTTATTCACTCTCCCTCTGGCTCTCCAATTCTGCTTACATCTACCTCTCTGTCTCCTTTATCCAGATGCTCAAAGCCCTGATGCCCGTTGCTGTGTACTCAATCGGCATCCTCTTCAAAAAGGATAGCTACAAGAACAACACCATGTTAAACATGCTCGCAATTTCAATCGGTGTCGCAATTGCCGCCTATGGAGAAGCTAAGTACGATTCGTGGGGTGTTTTTCTTCAATTAGGCGCAGTTGTTTTCGAGGCCACAAGATTGGTCATGATTCAGATTCTATTGACTTCCAAGGGTATTAATCTGAACCCCATTACTTCTCTATATTACGTTGCACCCAGTTGCTTTGTCTTTCTCTCAATTCCCTGGATTTTCGTTGAGTACCCAATACTGAAACAGAAATCGGATTTTCATTTCGATTTCGTCATTTTCGGAACAAATTCCCTATGCGCTTTCGCTTTGAACTTGGCCGTGTTCTTGCTCGTGGGAAAAACTTCTGCGTTGACCATGAATGTCGCCGGTGTGGTTAAGGATTGGTTGCTCATCGCATTTTCGTGGTCGGTGATTAAGGATACGGTGACTCCGGTGAACTTAATCGGGTACGGACTGGCATTTTTGGGCGTTGCGTACTACAATCATTTGAAATTGCAGGCGTTGAAGGCCAAGGAGGCGCAGAAGAAGGCACAGTCGGCCGATGAGGAGGCTGGAAAATTGCTGGAGGAAAGAGAAGGGGAAGGAAATGGAAGAAAGGGAGATTCACAGGCTTAATCGAATAATATTCAGATTGACATTTTTCAGAAAAAAAATAAGATCTCGAAATAAATTTAAAGGGAGTGATCTGGGATTTTTAGTCTATTTTTGCTGTTTCAATGGATCTGAGATTTAGGTATGTTGTCTGAAGAATCTGGTAATATATTTTATATTATAGATAGTTGGTATTTGAGATCCACATTTCTTGCTCACAATGTCAGTTTATTTATGTTTTTTCCAATTTTTTAGCTATGGTACATGACATTTTGCCAAGTTTACTGGGATTCACTTGGCAATATTTCATTGTGTTGGACACACAAAAATAAAAAATCAACTAGGTATTGTCAGCGCAGCACATGTTATTATGTCGAAATTTGCTACTTGTACACACTTGGTACACAACCCTCTCACATGTGGGGTCGTCCACACACATGTGAGAGGATTGTGTACCACCCCACATGTGAGAGGGTTGTGTACCAAGTATGTAAGTGTAGCATTTCTCATTTATGTCCATGCTGTACAAACAGAACAATCCTTCTTTTTTGTCTTGATTTTATATGAACCTATGATGCTTAAATGTCCTTGTTGTCCTGGCATTTGCATCCCTTCATCACTGCCATCTTTATGTCTAAGGTATCGGGATTGATTTGATGTCACGATAAGTTAAAAGGTTAAAGTTAACAGAATCTGTGTACAAAATAGATTCACAAAATATGTGTTGACAAGATCTACGTCAATGATTTCAAAAATAGTTTTTGAAATCAATGGACTAGATCTTACCACACTCATTTTGTAAACCTATTTTGTGAAGATTCATTTAGACCTCAAATTTAGTGGCAATAGTTGTTTGTTGTTACTTTGAGATCAATGTGGTGTGATTAGTATTTGAACAATCCCCTGTTCAGAGAACAATTACAAGTGCTGTGATGGCAGCTATTGTGGGTGATTTTTTATTTTATTTTTCTAACTGTCCAATCACACGACGACACGTGTATTATGTAAAATGAAAATTAAAAAAAAAAAGTTCTTCTATACTTGTAGAATGGTTCTTAGTATTTCTGTAGTGAGAATCCAAAAGTGCTATTACAAGGTTTGTAGTTGCTTAGGATGAAGAGACCGGAATGGAATGGTGGAAGAAGATTCAGGTAGTCAACTCCAAATTCATTGGGAGGAAATGCGAGCTCCTGTTTGATAGGAATTAAAATCAGATTTAGTAGATTTTGATAGAAATTGATGAAATGTATAATTAAAAAGTTGTGGGACCCATAAAATATATGGTTAAAATTAATTGTTGATTTTGATTTTTCTTCTTGTTTGAGGTCTTTGCTGATTGAAGATTTTATTATTATTATTATTATTTTTTTTTTTTTGGGATATTAGAAGTTGAATTTGTGTTAAAGGAAAGAATGTAATATGATACTGAAATGGGCGTCTGTTTGTTTATTGTGTATACTCTGACATTTTTTGATTGTGCAACATTTACATCACAATTTATATATTTGTTTACAAGTGGATCTTAATTTCTTTTGTCATTAACCCGCGTTACAAAAGCACAACCGTTTAAGTGGTGAAGAGATTTTTACAGTTCTACTTCAAATTATTGTCACCTCATCAATTTGTAAAAGAATTTATAAATGATGATGTACAACAAACATTTTTCGACATTTTTTATGTGGGTCGAGAAATGAATTTTGGACATTGAAGGTTAGTTTTAAAGATTGCACCATCCATAGTCGAGATTAGTATCATATCGACTTATTTGTTACTTAAAGAAAGGCGTGAGGGCGAGTATGTTTCCTTCGATCTTCTACTTCGACTTGTCGAACATGCACAACAAGACCGAATTTTGTTTGTCGGTAGCATTTGATATGCTGCTTGGCTTGTTATTTATCATTGAAAACGTTTTTGAGGCCTTCATTTGCTGTTTATAGGGTCAATGGCCATTTTCTGTTTCATTGGTTGAAACCTACTATACCTTTTGTACGATACCAAACTTTTGTTTAATAAACTTGTAGGTTCGGTATACCTAAACTAATAAATAAGTCAAGCTTTGTAGGGTCAATGACCGTTCTTTTAGCACCAAGGAAGAGGCTATCATAAAAACAAGTAATTTGTTCACTTAATCAATTGAATGATCTATTTATCTTACGGATTTAAAGATATTACATATTGCATAAAACCTTACCAAAAAAATCAAAATATTAACATTCCCCGCCCCCCATGTACAAAAATATTTCCACAGAATTTCACTAGACCCACGTGTGTGTGTTTTGGTGAAATTCTGTGGCTTCTGCTTCTGTACAAGCAGCAAAGCTTTAATATTAATATAAATTCAATTGGGTTAATTTCACAAACAATCACTGAAGTTACGTCAAAATCAAAAAACGGTCACTAAAGTTTAAAACTTGCACTAACGATCACTGAAGTATCATCCGATTTCAGTAATTGTCACCGATTTTCATTTTAATTAGAACTTAATGAACCAAAATAGTTGAAACTTGAACATTAAGGAACTAAATCGAAAATTTGACAATAAAACCTTCAAAAACCATTTCTTTTTGTGAAATTAACCCATATAAGGTGATTTTTTTTTTTTTAAAAAGAGAGAGTGACAAAGAGAAAAAGAAAATAATAACACAAAAAAAAACAAAAAAAAAAAAGAAA